TAAATCCAGCCACTGATCCAACACCCAGTCACACAAATTCCTTCTGGTATCGATGTTTCACACCCAACCGTTCGAATCTGAACTTCCAAACTCAGCGACCATACCCCATTTATTTGTTGACAACGCATACATTCTAGGGAAAAGATTTTTTAAAGGAGACTCATCAGCCCATGAATCCGTCCTAAATGCAATAGACTTTCCATTTCCAGTTTCAACTTGGAGTTAGATCTGATACGTTCACCCTCCGAGTCGTTCTTCAAGAAATTGTTGGCTATCCCTCTCCAAATCCAAGAAGATTTGGGCGAAAAAACCTTACAAATAGACATGGAATTACTACTTACCTTGTGCCTGCAACATAACACACTTTTCCACAAAGTATTTTTTTCATTGGCGAACTTCCACACCCATTTTCCCAAAAGAGCCCGATTAGATAGGTTCACATCAAGAACACCAAGGCCACCACAATTTAGAGGCGTGCAGACTGATTTCCAATTAACCCAGTGTATCTTCCTTTTGTCCTCATTATCCCCCCATAGGAAACTAGCCATTAAAGAATTAAGCTTCTTACCAATTTTACAAGGCATTCTAAAAAGAGATAAGAAGAATATTGGTAGGGATGTTAACACCGACTTTAATAAAACTGTCCTGCCCGCCAATGAGAGACAATTAGCTTTCCAACCGGCTAGTTTGGAACTAAAATTCTTGAAAACTGGATCCCATAAGGCTTCTGAGTTTTTCTTAGCACCTAGAGGAAGTCCCAAGTAATCTGTTGGAAGAGAATCAATAGAACAGCCCACCGAAGATGCCCATTCTGATAAAACTTCCTCTTCCACATTAATACCAAATAGCTTACTCTTAGCTAGATTAAGATGCAACCCTATCATAACACTAAAAATCCTCAATACTCTCTTGACATTTTTAATCTGGGAGAGAGATGCTTGACAGAAGATGATCAAGTCATCTGCAAATTGTAGATGTGTCAATCGAACAGAATTTTCAGATTCCCCAATAACAAAGCCTTGAAACAGACCCCTGTCCACTGCTTTAGATATCATCAAATTAAGCAGCTCACCTACAATGTTAAACAGTAGCGGAGATAAACTGCACCCTTGCCTAAGTCCTTTGGCCACGTGGAACTCTTCCGATGGAGACCCGTTTACGAGAACTGAGATTGAAGCTGTTGAAATACACTGAGATATCCACGACAACCATCTCTTACCAAAACCCATCTCTGACATTACTCTGATTAAAATTGGCCATTACACAGAATCATAAGCCCTACGAAAATCTACTTTAAAGGCAACCCCTTTTAACCCTTTTTTCCTCCAGTAATCAATCCCTTCGTTTGCTATAAAAGCACAATCCAGCAACTGTCTCCCTGGTATAAACGCAAACTGAGAGTGACTAATAATATCACCAACACAACAACTCAGTCTCTTCGAAAGAACTTTAGAAAGTATCTTGTATAAGCTGCCTACAAGGCTGATTGGTCTAAATTCCTCTACACTGTCCGGATTAAGCTTCTTCGGAATAAGTGTGATAAAAGCATGGTTTATACCGTGCTCCCATTTCCTTCCAAAATAGAAATCTTCAAAAAAATTCAACACGTGCTCCTTAAAAATCGGCCAGCAGTTTTTAAAGAAACCCATGGTGAAACCATCTGGTCCTGGAGCTTTAGAGCTGTCTGATGAAACTATAGCTTGCCAAATTTCCTGTTCTAAGAAGTGCTCTTCAAGCTTCTTAGACTGATCCCCTGATAGCTTAGCAAAATCCAATAGTAAATCCTCCGTTTCCAATGTTGAATTGGAATTATAGGCTGCCTTGAAAAATTCTGAAATATGTACCTTTAATTGTTGAGGATCTGAAACCACACTCCCATTTATCTTCAAGCTTAAGATTTCATTTCTTTTGCTTCTGTTCAGAGCAGACAGATGAAAAAACCTTGTGTTCCTATCCCCCTCCTTGATCCATCTCGCCCTTGACTTCTGAAACCAGATACTTTCTTCTGTCCTATACAACCTCCATAGATTTGTCCTACACAGCCTCAACTGATCCCACTCCTGCTTCGAAAGAATTCCACCTTGAGCTTTAAGATCCAATTCATTAATATTCCTCTCTAAATCAGAAATCGACTCAGGGATCCCAATAAATTTACTGCTGGACCACTTTCTGATTGAATATTTAGTACCTTTTAAGATACTGAAAATACCCCTTTTATTATTTCTCCCCCTCATAGCAAGCATTGAAGATTTAACCAATTCCTCAAATCCTTCCTCCTCTAGTAAATAATTAAAAAACCTGAATGGTTTCGGTCCCCAATTAACAGCTTTGTCCTCTAATGAGACTGGATTATGATCAGATAGGGATTTAGGCAAGAGACTTTGCACTACATTTGGAAACATGACAGAAACGTCCCAGAGATTAAGAACCTGTCTAGTCTTTCCCAAGTCGAGTCTTCTCTATTATTGCACCAAGTATACCTTCCTCCCACCAAAGGTAGATCAATTAAATGTAATTGATGTAAGAAGTTTCTAAATAAATCAATAGAATGCCAGTTTTGTGATTTTCCCAACTTCTCGTCCGGATCAAGATACACATTAAAATCTCCCCCAATACACACTAACATATTTTGAGCCGAAACAAACTCCAACAATTCCCTGAAAAAATCTTCCTTTTCTGCTTCAATTGATGGACCGTATACATTGATAATCAGACACTCTTCACTTGAATTTCTGAACTTCCCAAAGACTGCTATGAATCTGCCATTAAGATGGCTGTTCGAAACTTCAAAATCATTTTCATTCCACATAATCATCAATCCACCAGCAGATCCCACTGTTGGCGCAACAATCCCTCCTCTAAGGAATCTCCCCCCTATCCTTCTTCTAAGAGCCAAAGAAACAGTTTCTAGTTTTGTTTCTTGAATTAGAATCAAGTTCGGCTTATTCTTCTTCACCAAATTAGCTACAACTCTTGACTTTTCCTTTTTTCCAAGACCCCTTACATTCCAAGAAATAATGTTGACATTTATCATAACAAGAAGATCTACACCAAATCCTTATAGCTAGTCAACAGAGAAATAGAGACTAAACCCCTGACTTCCCCTGTTCCCTACTCTCAGCCGAACCCTCTTCAAGGTTGATAATTTTGTCCAAAAAAGCCTTCTTCCCATCTTTGAAAGAAATTCCTAGAACTTTACATACTTCCCATGTAACCATCGCTTCCTCAACCGCCTTCGAGAGCTGAGTAAAAACAAAAGGAGAATTAACCATATCAACTGCTTCCCTTGTTAAAACTCTTCTCTTCCTTCTTTTAGACCTTCCTGACCCTACAGCAGAGAAAGGAACTACTGCCAAGACCTCCGAAGAACTATTACAATTATTTGGTGCCACATAAGGGTTCTGATCATCAGCTGCACCATTTAAAATCACTTCCCTTCCACCTTCCATATTTATTGAAGGAGGCTGCAAATCCTTTCTCACCGGAATACCTTTGTGTTTATTCTCAAACCAGTTAATTCTCACCCTCGACCTGGTATAATGTCTTTTATAGCTGGCCATTCTCCTCCTCTCTATGGGCAAACTTTTGGGACAAAGTTTTCTTCTCTGCTGGAACAGCGATCTGTCTCTATCCCTAATCAGTTCAGTTCCAACCCCCCTACAATCGTCATTTTCCAAGACTACTACTTCCTCTAACAGATCCTTATTTGGCTTATTTGAGATCCCTTCAGATTGAGACTGTACTCTATCTGTGAACCCACCCTCAATCGAAATATGTTTGTAACCTGACAAATCAGTATTCGAATTCTGCAGTTTTGAGTCTACCAAAACAGAATGCTGAAACTCTCCTTGAACCTCCACCCTACTTAATTTAACATCATGCCCCCCTGGAATTAGATTATTAGCTGGTGAATCATACTCCCTGTTAGATTGTGAAGACCCAGCAGGCAACAAATTTGGATTTAAGTCTGCCGGGACATTAGCCCAATTCTGCACCTTTAGTTTATCCGAATCAGATTGCTGCTGAGAACCTGCCAATTCCACCCGAGACTCCAAACGGTTACCATATCCCAGTTTTAATAAATTAACAGCTGGCCCAGAAGGTACTATTCTGTAGATATTAGTATTGGACTCACTCGAGCCCTCTAAATGGGCTTCTTCAGATTCATTAATAGGGACATTCCTTAGACCAAGGCCCCTATAGTCCTCTTTAAAATTCAAATCTTCTGCAGAAAAACCTGACACCTTAGCACCACTAGGTTGACTTTCTCCTTCCTGCAGCATTAAGTTTTTACATCCACTGCCGCCTGCCACTGTTGTGCAGACATCACCTACCAACCATCTGTCTACTGTGTCCCTAGAATTCTCAGCTGGCAATTGTGGGCTACCTACTCCACCTGAACTCCGAACTTCTTTCTCTTCCGATGAAGAATCAACTCTAGACACACCATCTCCGGCCACCTGAAGAATTTCTGCAAAAAAACTAATCTTATACGATCCCACACTAATCTTAACCTTATACGATCTCCCATATGCACCCAAGGTAACAGAATCCTGTATATCATAAGGACTCGCCACCCTCAACAAAGCTCTTGCCACCGCCAAATCCTCTCTTCTGATCGTGGACTCATGAATACACACCAATTTCCCCCACCTTGAGACCAGCTTTTCCAAAAAAGATACATTACAACATAGTAAAGGGATTCCATACAACTCCACTGAACAGAAAGCCATCGGGACTCTGTCTACACTCATAAGTGGATCAAGCCAGTCGAACCAAAGTGACACTTCATCCCTTCTGTTTTTCCACGCCTCCTCGAACTCTTCCTTCGACCCAAAGGTTATAATGCAAGAGTTCCAGGTATAACCCCATTTAGTTCCCTTGACCTTGATCCCTTTACTAGCCAACCCCTTCACTATTGTCCCCAGATCAAAATGGGATTTAATGATCCCAGTTATTGATCTTTTCACCCAATCATATTCGTCTGGGGGAATATGCATTTACCACAAATTCCTCACCCCTACTTCCTTGTCTTTATGGCCTTCCCAAATCACTTTAGACGCCGGACCTTCTCTTCTTCCATCCAAAGATGCTAACGCATCCTTGTAAGATCTCTCATCTCTCAGTCGGCTATAAGATTCTGATCCAGCTCTTCTACTCCGATGCGTATCCTTTTTCCACTTATCAACTTCCTTACTGTCGTTACTTCTACCAGCCTGCTTTAGTCTCTTCTTCTGGTACTTAGCAACTCCTACTGAGATTTTCTTACCATCAATCCAGATACCATTAATATTTGCTATCGCCTTCAACAATCCATCCTCATTAGCCAACTGGACGAAAGCAAACGTATAATTTCTATAATTCGGCTTGTTGGAATAATTCGGAATGTAGACACGAACAACACTCCCCTGTTGATGAAAAATTTCCTTAAGAGTTTTCCTAGTTACCCTTTTACTCAGATTGTCAACGAAAACCGTCCACTCCTCACCGGAAAACTGACCAACTGAAAACCTCTCTCTCTCTCCCACTTTCTCCCTGACACTCTCTCTCATCTTTCAGAAAATGGAAGCACATTGTTTTTCATCTTGACCACAATAAGAATGAATATCTAAGATATTTAACACATCTTAATAATTCATCTTGAAGTAAACATATAGCAAATACCTCTCTTCCAATAGTGTGTCAATCAAAGGAAACAAACCCCTCTTGAAATCTGTACTCAAAACATGTTTTAATGCTACCAACAATTCCTGTACTCAAAAAATTAGCATGAGAAAATTTGAACCAGAAGAAACAAAATGCAGAAAGGAAAACAGAAAGTAACAAAACTCACCTTCCTAATTGATATAGAGTCCGAACATGTAACAAGTAAATTCACAATGCTTTTACATATGTTTTCTTCATGTGGCCTGATATAATCAGCAAAGCTCTTCGGGAGGTATGTTAAAAAGGAAACTGTCTGCAATAAAGGAGAAAGAAATATCAGGAAACAAAAGAAAGGGCTGAATACAAACTAAAGTCACAAGGTTTATTTTTATCTCAAATTACAATTACGAATATGTAACCAAACAAGATAACTGGGAGGTTGTGCACAAGCAAAGTGTATAAACATGATTCTAGCTTTATTTCTTTGATTCAAATGAATACTCTCAAGCCTTTACAACAAGGAGTCCAAAGGATTCGGTCCTTTTAAGACTACTGGGAAGCTATAGCCATTTTACATTCTCAAGCAAAAAAAACCAACTAAGATTTAGATTGGCTAAATGGTTCTTGGCTAAGCACCCGGACGTCTTTATTCAGGTAGACTCCCTTGTTGGGGACCCTACACTTGTAGACAAGCACCATACTAGGAACCTTAAAAGGATGAAGGTTCAGGGCTGGCTTCCTCCTCCACTTCATTTTTACAAAGTTAACATTGATGGGGCAGACAGTGGGGACGGGCTGCTAGGGGGAATGGGGGGCATTTTAAGAGATTCAGAAAGTAAAATTCTTGGGTCCTTCTCGCACGCTGTTGGACCAGGTCTTCCCCCACTTGCTGAGCTGAAAGCCATTGAGAAAGGCATTGACTTTTTTCTCTCGTCGGATTGGGCGAGGAAGGGAAGGCTAATTATAGAGAGTGATTGTAAATCAGTAGTGGATTGGATTTTGCTGCCGACATCATCTCCTCGTTTTTTTAGTTCGTTGGTTCAGAAAATTGCTTCCATAATCTTGGAGAGGGAGATTATTATTAGACATATCCCGAGGAGCTACAATTGTGAGGCTGATACTTTAGCTAAACAGGGGATTGGATGATGAATGAAGGTTGCCTTAGAGGTTTTTCAGTAGGGTTGGTGGTCTATTGAGGTTGTTGGGGCTGAGTCAGTTTTGGTGTTGTTTAAGGGAGGTCTGGTCGCATTGGGGTTTTGCTTTCTACGTTTTGTAATTTTTTTAGGTTTTGTTAGTTTGTCTTATGGCTGTATTTTATGTACTTTGTCTTTGATTAATAAAATCTTAAGGCACTCTTTTCCACCTTCCGCTGATTAAGGAGCTTTCCTAAAAGATCCATGAATCAAGAAGGGGGTTTTTAATGAGGCCTGAAATTCTTATCAAAAAAAAAGATAGACCCAAGAAAAGAAAAGATGAGTGAGAGAGTTAGGAACGTAGAGAGAGAAAAATTGAAAGGAAAGTTTTCTTCCGGGAGTGTTTGGTCGGCGTTCATCGACAATCTAAGTAGAAGAGTGTCTCGACGAGAGTTAAGGGAGTTGTTCTCAACTCAGGGTCCGATAGTCAGAGTGTTCATTCCTAAAGAAACAAGGAATCCGAAATACAAATTCTCCACTTTCGCCTTTGTTCAGTTTGGTAACGAGGAAAGTCTAAAACGGGCTATTAACAAGCTGAATGGTTCATTGATGGATGGTCGGAGAATTTCAGTTGGTGTTGCACGATTCAAGGATGCTCGTATGAGGTCAGCAGGGCAGAATAGTTCATTGGAGATGACTTTAAAGAAGGTCTCAGTTGATACTTCAAGGTCAAAAGAGAGTTGATATTAGTAGGAGTTTTAGGGATGAAAGATCTTACAAGGATGCCTTACTGTCTAAAAGATTGAAGAGTAATGTATCGGACCAAAGGGATATGGCATTTGAAGGTTTCAACAGAAGGAATGGCATAAAAAATGTGGGAAATGCATATTCCTTCAGAGAGCTCCAGTTGGGTGAAGAGGTCATTAACTGGGATTGTTAAACAATCTTTTGAGTTAGATTTAGTCCAGAAGTCTCTAGTTAATGAAGGTCTTGAAGTTCAGATTGCCAGATGGGGTTACGTTTGGAATTCATGTGTTGTAACCTTTAAGTCGGATGAGGAAATGTTGGATGCATGGTCGACGAAAAAAGATGAATTACTTTTCTGGTTTGATAGGTTGGCACCTTTATTGAATGATGATGCATTCCGATGGCTTTTTGCCTCATAGAACTATCTGGGGTTCCACTATTATGCTGGCAAAACACCTTCTTGGAACGTTTAGCAGGGAGGTGGGGAATGGTGGAAGATATTCATGAAGAAACTAAAAACAGAGAAGACCTCTCCACGGCGAAGATTTTGATCAGGGTGGCGAGCCCATATGATGTCCCTGAGGTGTTAACACTTGGAGCCTATGGAAGATCTTATACAGTGAAGATTAAGCGGGGTTCGGTGCTTGAGTATAATTTAGATTTTTCTAGCAAAGCGCCGGTGGGAGGTTCCGATGAATTTCAAATTGGTGAGAAGTTTGCTGAAGAGGAAGCTGACAGGAGTGTGTCAGAAAGTATGGAAAGTGCTGAACATTCAGAAGAACACAGCAGACAAAAGGTAGACTTATGGTTTGACAAAGGAGCTTTTGTGGGTTTGGTTGGAGCAGGTGGGGAAAATCATATCCCAATGCTTAACAAAGATGGGAAAAGCATTAATTGTGAGGTGTCAGACTGCCAGGACCTTGGGAGAAACAATTTAGGTGATTATGCCAGTTTGGGATGCAAAGTTTTCAATTTTTCGGCTGATGGGTCTGAAGCCCAGTCAGTTGAAAGTGGACAGCCTGGTTCTACAGACTTTAAAATTATTCCAGCTGGGCCAGTTATTAAATTGGATAGTTTTGGGAGAATGGACCAGAACCAATTTATTGTTCAATCTGTCAACATGGAGGAAGCAAATAATGGAGGTATACCTCATTCCAGTTTAATGTCACGCAGTGGGGAAAGAGTGTTATCAGCAGCAACTAAGATGATTGACTCTAATGTACATGCTGGAAAAATGTTTTCTAGGGGAAGATCGCTTCATCGATCTAATTCATCTTTAACTACTAGGAGTGAGCCATTGGAAAGGAGAAGAACGGTTAGCTATAAAAGGGTGTATTCGAGATCAAGGGAGAGAAGACACTGGCCATTAACTGCAGAAGAGGAAGCCTTAGTTGCTAAAGGGTAAGGACTTGGTGCTAAATTCAGTTCTGCCAGTCAGTCCAGTAGCAGATTTTAATATGGAGGGTTGTGTGGAGTCTACTGAGGGGAGACATGTTGCTAATAGCAGTTTGGGTAATACGTGTGAACGGTGGTTTTCAGGAGGTGATGATTCTGATTTCAATTCCACTGCATTGATTCGAAGAGCCAAAAGGTTATTGATAAGGGAGGCATTGGATCAGGCAAGCATTTCAACAGCTTCTTCGCCAGCTTTTTCAGTTCTATTGGAGGAAGCCTTAGCTACTTGGGAAGTCAGTAAGCTTCTAGGGGTGCCTTTCAAGGAAGGGAAGTCATCTTTTTTGGAAAAAATTATTAAGTTGGAGAATGATTTGAGGCTGGTTTGAGCTTCGATTTTCTTTGGCAGGTTTGGTTTTTTATTTTTGTGATGAGTAACCAATTAGCAATTATTTCATGGAACGTTCGGGGATTGGGAAGAAAGGAAAAACAAAGATCTGTTCAAAATATAGTTCTAAAGAAACGCCCTATTTTTCTTTTGCTTCAAGAAACGAAAATGTAGAAGATTCAGAGGCAATTTTTTAGGAGGAGTGGCTTGAATACCCTTCAAGGGTTTTCAGAATCTCCAGCAGTGGGTTCTTCTGGAGATTTATTGAGTTGTTGGGATGAGAGCATGTTTGAAGTGGAAAATCATGTTATAAACAGAAGGTTTATTGCTACGTTTGGGAAATTTCGAACTTCACAATTTAGGTGTGGTTTTATCAATGTTTATGGTCCTTCTGTCGAAGAAGAAAAAATTTGCATTTTTGAAGAGTTAGCTGGTTTTATTTGTGGTCAGAGTATTCCTCTTTGTGTGGGAGGTGATTTCAATGTGTATCTTTCAGAAGAGGAGAAGATTGGAAGAGCCCAAAACAGAAATTCAATTAGAATTTTCAGTCATTTTATCCAACAGACAGGGTTAATTGATTTACCTCTACATGGGGGTAGGTTCACATGGTGTAGCAATCAGGATATACCCACCTTTGTTAGACTGGACAGGTTCCTTGTTGATGTCCGTTTCTTGGAAGCCTTTCCTGAGACTATACAATATTTGTTACCTAAGGCTATATCAGATTACAATGCCATTTTTCTTGAGAATGGTGGTGTTAGTTGGGGTAAAAAACCATTCAGGTTATTTAGTTATTTGATGGATGAAGAAGGTTTTCATAATTTAGTTGGCTCTGCTGTACAGAACTGCAAGAGTAAACAAAACAGAGTTGGAATTTTTTCTATCTTGAAATCTACCAAATTGGAAATCAAGGAATGGGCAGGGAATAGAGATCAATACCCAGCTGTAGAAATTGCAGAATTAGAAAGGAATATCCACTTAGCAGAGGATAATTTCCAGCAAATGCAAGACTATAATGGTTGTGAAAAAGCTGCAGAATTGAGGACTATGAGAACAGAATTATGGAAGCTTTATAAAATTGAAGAACAGATTTGGTTTCAAAATTCGAGATCAAAATGGGTGCAAGCAGGGGATCGTAATACAAGATTTTTCCATGCATGTGCTTCAGTCAGGAGAATGAGGAATTATTTTAGTGTTCTAAATATCAATGGAGAGGTTATTCAAGATCCAGCTATCATCAAAGCTACTATTAAGGACCATATTTTTGGAATCTATAATTCTAAGTCTACCTTGGAAGTTGAAGATTTGAAGCTGAATTTTCCAGAATTTCTGGGGAGCAATGTGTGTTTTTGGAAAGAGAATTTACAGAGGAAGAAATTTGGGAAACTCTTCAATCGTGTGATAGCAATAAAGCTCCCGGACCAGATGGATTAAATATGGGCTTTTTCAAGAGATTTTGGTATATTCTAAAGGTAGATATTCTGAAATTTTTTCATAATTTCTATAAGGGGAAAGATTGGGAACATGGAGTCTCATACTTTCATTACTCTTATTCCCAAGGTGTCTAATATTGGTGGATTAGATGATTTGAGACCCATAAGCCTTGTAGGAGGATTGTACAAGATCCTTTCTAAATGTCTTTCAAGGAGATTAAGGAATTGTATTACTGGTTTGATCAGCCCAACGCAGTTTGCATTTATTCCAGGTCGTCAAATACTGGATTGCTCTCTTATAGCTAATGAGGGAGTTGACTTTTGGAGGAAGAAAGGACTTAAAGGATGTGTGTTTAAAGTGGACTTCAGAAAGGCCTATGATACTGTGGATTGGTCCATTCTCTTTACGGTTATGGAGAAAATGGGATTTGGCTTCAGATGGAGGAGTTGGATCAGACAATGTGTAACAACAGCCTCAATTTCAGTTTTGATTAATGGGGTCCCTTCTCAGGAATTCTCTATGGCAAGGGGTCTCTGTCAGGGCTGCTCTTTATCTCCTATGCTTTTCAACTTGGTTGGGGAACTTCTAAACTTACTGCTTTCAAAAGCAGTATCTGAGGGACTGTTTTCTGGACTGCAATTTGGAAGAAATGAGACGGCTTTTAATTTATCTCATCTGCAATTTGCAGATGACTTAATTATTTTCTGTGGAGCTTCGAAGAATCAGATTTTAAATGTTAAGAGGGTCCTAAGAGTGTTTGAACTGATTTCTGGCCTTCAATTGAATTTGAAGAAAAGCATATCATTTGGTGTTAATACGGCAGTGGAGGAGGTTGAGGAGTGGGCCTCGTCTATTGGTTGTGCAGTTGGGAATTTTCCCTCTGAATATCTAGGTTTGCCTCTCGGTGCATCTAGGAATTCTTCCTCTCTTTGGGATCCGGTGGTTTTGCAATTTAACAAGAAGCTTGCAGGTTGGAAATCGAACACTCTTTCATTGGCAGGGAGGCTAGTCTTGATTAAATCGGTTCTCTGTTCGCTTCCAACCTACTATTTATCTCTGTTTAAAATTCCTTCCTCGGTTAATTCCAAACTCAATTCCATTATGTCAAAATTCCTATGGGGAGGTGGAACGGATAAAAACAAGATTCATTGGGTCAGCTGGTCCAATGATTGCAAATCTAAGGAGGAGGGAGGTTTGGGAGTGTTGAATATTAGTAATATGAACAGAGCTTTACTGGGGAAATGGTCTTGGAGGTTTGCTAATGAAAGGAATGATGTTTGGAGGAGGTTGATATGTTCAAAATACAATCTGGATCCCTACTCTTTACTGTTCAATAGCAAGTTACCAGCTCAATCCTCTTGGATTTGGAGTTCAGTGGTTAATTCTCATTTTAAAGAAGACTCAATTGGCTCAAAATTTCGAAGTATGTGCAGAATTCAAGTTGGTTGTGGTCAGTTTATCTGTTTTTGGCAGGATAAATGGGCAATGGACTGCCCTCTTAAGGTCTCTTTCCCAAGGCTGTTTGCTATCTCTTCAAATCAGAGTGGTAAATTGATTGATTTCGGTGAGTTTAGTTCTCTAGGCTGGATTTGGAATATTCGATTGAGGAGGAATTTGGCTGATTGGGAATTTGAACAGTGGACTAATCTGATGACAATCATTTCTAATTTTTGCTTGTCTAAAGATGCCAGCGATGCTCTGATCTGGAAAGGGAAAGGGGATGGTGTTTATTCTGTTAATTCATGTGTGAAGATTTGTTCCTCGGTTTCCCAGGCGAACTCTTTTTGGAAGAAATTTTTGTGGAAAGGATTGGTGCCACCAAGGATTGAGACTTTTATGTGGCAGGTGGTCCTTCAAAAACTACCAGTGAGGACTGAACTGGCTAAAAGAGGGGTTTCGGATATTGTAGATCTTTCATGTCCTTTATGTAATTTGGTGGATGAATCCTCTTCTCACTTATTTCTCTCTTGTTTAGTCGTGTGGTCTTTGTGGAATAAATTTTTGTGGAATAAATTTTTGCAGTATTGGAGTATCAGTTCGGTCTTTCATGGAAATGCGCAAAACTTTCTTCTAGCTTGGGAAGATCTAAATTCCGGTTCTACTATTTGGAACTTTATTCCGGCTGTTGTTATGTGGACTGTTTGGAAAGCTAGAAATGACATCGTCTTCGATAGAGGGAAGTTGGATCAAACTAATTTATTTTTCTTAGCTAGAGTAAGGCTTGCATCTTGGTTCCTAGCTAAGTTTGCAGATTCGGTCATTTCTTTGGATTCCCTTATCAGTGACCCTTCCCTTGGGGATTCATGTTTCCCTCCAAACAAATCAATTGTCTCTACCATCCCGTGGTCCCTCCCTCCTAAGGGCTTTGTTAAATTGAATGTGGATGCAGCTACTAGTTCTGACTGGAAGAGCAGTGGAATTGCAGGCATCCTAAGGGATGAAGAAGGTCTACTTTTAGGTTCTTTTAAGACGGCTTCTGGTCCAGGTCCACCTATTCTGATGGAACTAGTATTAAGGAGGGTTTAAATTTCTTTCACTCAGTGAGAGGAAGTATTAAGGGTCGGTTGATTATAGAATCAGATTGTAAAATGGTAGTGGATTGGATTAAGGATGGATCTTGTTGTCATGTTGTCTATGCCTCCATTGTTAGGGAGGTAGCTGTTAAACTCAAAGAAGTCGAGGGAGTTATTAGATGGGTGGCTAGGACAGCCAATATTGAGGCTGATGGGTTGGCTAAGTCTGGTATTGGTTAATTTTTCTTTTTTGTTGGGATATCTTATTTTGGGTTTTTAGGTTGTTTGTAAGGGTTTTATCTTATTATTGTATCTTATGTATCTATATTAATAAAGTTTAAGGCACTCTTTTCCTCCTTCCTCCGATTTAGGAATTCAATATGAGTTCCTTAAATCATGAAGGGGGTTTTTAATGAGGCCTCAATTCCTATAAAAAAAAAACATTCTCAAGCAAAAGCTAGGCCATGACTATTTGAATTTCCAATTTTATTATCTTCAAAAATTGATCTAATTCAAAGAGAAGTTCAGGCAAAGAGGAAATCTTTATGCAGCAAAACAAATTTGAAATTTTCACCAACACTTCGAAAACAGAATATGGACAAACATGGATATGCAAAGACAAACAACTCATACTCTTCTCCGCGTGAAATATCCACTATTTTTATCATAAGAATAATTTCACTATGTAGCAGACATGAGAACGACTGAAACTACACTGAACAAGAAATGAAGAATCACTCACCTTAACTTGTGCCCCTTTCAACTCAATGAATTGAGTCTTCAAATGGGGAGGAACCTGTTCAGGTCCCTGAACAGATATTGCAGCAACCATCAAAGGTAACAAATGAGGAATATTAGTTTGTACAAGACGACTATACAATTGAAATAGAAACAGAAGTACGAGTGGACTCTCTGTAACAATCTTGAACGACCGCGTACTGGGATTCAACAGCACATTCTCTGCATATCCACTTGAAGTGATCCCTTGATCTGGAACTGAAGAAGTATCCATAGGCTTCATATCTACTTCCATTCCCACAGCCGCATTATCGAAGAAATGGCTAACTGTCAACCTAAAATTCTGGTAAATCTTGCAAACAAAATCTAAAAACGGCTGAACCTCATTTTCTAATGTGGGCCTAAAATTCCTGAGGAGGTCAAAGATAATACGAATACAAATGAAGCCATTTTCTTCATTATCAGCAGTAAGCACTTGCATAGCTACTTTTAAGAGGTCCTGAACAAAAGGTCGAAGAACTTCACTGTGAGGAAGTCTATTGAGAATTTCCACCACAATATTTCGCAATTTGTGCTCGGTATTGTCGGTGAATTGGGGCTTTGTAATCTGTAAAAGGATGATTGAGAAGGCTCGGAAATAGCATTTGAGGAAATTTAAGTACTCAGCGGTGTGAGCTATCTCGAGACTGTCTCTAACCTCCATTGCCATTTGTAACCTCGTCTGAATTGCTGTTCAGAGGGGAGAACACATAAAAATTACAAATAAATGACTAATTCTGTCAAAAAATTTATATATTTTCTGGAGCAACAAACAGGAAAGAAAAATTAGGAGTGCGAGAGTAGGATTACGGAGGTCAAGTTCGACGAGGAGGCGAGAGTGTTGTTCGAAATTCTGAATAGGACTCATTGTTGCAGCCAAAATACCCTCGCCCTTCAAAGCTTCAGCTTTCTAGGGGTTTTTAATACAACCGTCACTCTGCTTGCTTGTTCTGCTTTCTTCTTCACATTTGTAAATAAATAAAAAACTCAGTTAAGGTTGAATCGTGCCTCTTGTAAGCTCTTAAATTGAAAACTAGGGTTTTGGAATTGATTTTTATTGTTCTCTTTTTCAGACACTGTAGAGGAGAAGATCGTTGTTCGTGATACTACCAGTACGCTCCCTCTTTTTCTATCTTTTACTCCAGGAAATGGAGGCATGATGATCGTAAATTATAGAATTTACAGACCTAATTAGTAATATTTATGAGCCGATCCATTTTACTGGATCTAAATTGATTGGGTTTTAATAATTAGATCGGATTCAACATCTTTGAACACTGTGTGTTGTACCTTCTGACCCAAAAGACGGGATTTGTTTTGTGGAAATTTTACATGTTTAGAAAAATATTTATTTAAGGAAGTCGATGAATTTTTTAAAACAATTTGAAAATAATTGAAGAAAAGTAAATCAATCTATAATAAAATAAATCAAATGGTTGTATATCATCAAAATTAAAAAAAAAACTCTGACCATGTAAAATAAATATAATTTATTGTTATCTTATTATTAAATGCTTTATTTTTTTACGATTGGATTTGGTATCGTCATAACTGATCAAAATAGTATTTATTTAGCATCATGTTGATTTTCCTTTCTTTGGATTATCAGATTTGATTTAAATATGTGACTTGCATTCAGGGATAGTTTTTCACGTAGCTCGACTCTGATTTACGATTTGTATGTGATCTTTTACTATCTTGATCTTCTTCTATGATTTGTTTGTCGATGTAGTCATATCTATTCGTATCTATCTTTTGTTCAAATTTTTTATTACCTTTTTTAACTTTTTCATTGTATGACCCTTAAGGAGCATGTATTGGGCTGATTAGGAAACTCTTGTTAAAGGATGGTTCCATTTGGGTTGCATGGGTGCATGCCTATATCATCAAAGTAAACTCCTTTTGGGATTTGACTTGTTCGAAGAATTGCAGCTGGGTTTGGAGGGGTTTGCTGAAGGTTCAACCAAGAATTGCTCGTATGGATGGCCTGTTAGGTACGTTGTTCTCTTTGACTTGTGAGATTTGGAAGGACTTCCGAGTAAAGAAGGACAAGGTGATGTGGGAGAGGCTAGTTTGGCACTAAGCCACATTCCTAAGTGTTTTATTATTGCTTGGATGGCCGTTCTTGATAGATTGCCTACCAAAGATAGGCTCCTGTCGTTCGGAATGACTATTAATGGTACCTATGATTTGGGCTTTTAGTGTAATTTTTCTAAAGCTATTTGGGTTGGTATTATTTTTCTTTGTCATTTGCAGAGGGGGTGATGAGTTGGGACCATGAGTTTCTTAAAGGTAGATCCTTGAGGTCGTTGGTGCTGAGATTAGCTTGAAATTCTTTCATTGCTTGTATTTGGAAAGAGTAAAATTGTAGGTGTTTTTGCGCAACGGCTGCCTCTGTGGAGGAGGTTGTCAAGCGGACTAAGGACCTGGTTTTGTTGCGCCGGGAAGGGGTGAAGTTAAAGGCTGGAGGTTTGGTTAATAGGGCCCTGTGCCAAGCATGGGGTTTGAAAGAGTAGATTTTAGCCTATTTGATTTATTTGTTGATTCTTTGGGTTGGTTTTTTTTTTTTTTTTTTTTTTTTTTGCGACTCGAGTATGTTGTATTCTTTAATTTGGAATGAAATCTACATATTCATCTAAAAAAAATACTAGTTATAAACAAACATATCAAAAAATGATAAAAAGAAATCAAATCTTTTGTGATGAAAATAAAACATATCAAATATACTAAAAAGATTGATTTACTTGTATTTATTTATATTTTACTTAAATGAAAATATTTACATTAGTATATAATTTTAATAATGATAATTAATATAAAATAATTAGTTTTCATTTTTCATTTGCATAGTTAAGGATAGACAACAATCAGATTTTCAGTCAACCAAAAAAATATTAGGTTTTAGAGCCTTTGTTGTAAGTTTATTTGTACATTACCTGTTTGAAAATCTTTTATAATTTTGCACCTATTTTAAAGACATAAGATTTAAATTATTTTTCAATGTTAACTAAAATGATCATTTTGATCTATATTTTTAAGAATATTTTGGTCCTCAATGTTTTATTAAAAGGTAAAAAGATCCTTATTTTTAGTGTTAATCATTTATTAATTTAAAGCTTTCATTCATAAATGAGTTTTTTAGTCTCAAATTAAAATATTGACATCAAAATTCTTAAAAAATAAAGATAAAAATAATTATTTTAATTAATACTGGGGGCTAATTTTGATAATATATCCCTTTTTTAATGCCACTGAACAATTGAATCACAAGTTGTTTGAAAAAGAAAAAGCTTGTGTACAAAAATCTGATGTACAATGGCCAGTACACGAGCGACAACTAATAGTCCACTTATGTCTAAAAGGAGGGTGGCTCTAATGCCACGTCATAATCAAAGAAATACATCCAACTACCCATAATCATCATCCTCAATTACAAATATTCTAGTGAAGTGGACGCTAAGAAACTAAACCCAATACTAATTACAACTTTCCATTAGCTAATTATCATCCAACTTCATTACTAACGACCTTGCTTTACTGTTACTTTCATCAGTCTCGCTGTTGTATTAAAGAGAGATCTTTGTGAATTCATTCAATTCCCACATAGTGCGAGCCATGGAAACGGAAGACGGTGGTGGTGGTGTCGTCGTTGGACGGACGGAGATTGATACCAGAGCACCCTTCCGATCAGTTAAAGAGGCTGTCATGTTATTTGGAGAAAAAGTTCTGGTTGGTGAAATTTTTGCCAACAGGCTCAACAAAGAGGTTTTTCTCTTTATATCTGTACTCTGAATATGATATTAGATTCTAGGGTAAATTATACAATTAGTATCTTAACTATTATTTTTGTTACATTTTAGTTTTATTTTGGTACAAACAAAAGGTAAAGCTGGAGAAAGTGGGAAAGATGAATCAAAGATTGCAGCCTTAACAGCCCAGCTAGAAGAACTAAAGCAAAGCTTGCAAAAGGCACAAGAGGAAAACAACTCGATGTAGTATCGCTTAAAAGCACTAAGAGAAGAGCTTGAACAAAAGAAAAAGGAACTGCTACAATTGAAGGGCAGAGAGTTCCGGAAGCAACGGTTGGATCCCCGTATGGAAGACTTCAAATTCATCAAAGGCAAAGAGCCGGAGGAGTTTCAAAAGAAGAGATATGTGAAATTCGCTAGCCCTCCTTCGTTAGCCCAAGTCATCGTCAACAAAGACGAAATGCGGGAAAAACCAGACAGGGTCAAGAAAGTTACAAGGAAGACATTAATCTCCATTATCGGATGGCTGCTTCCCACGAAGAAAGAAAATCAAGAAGAAGACCATCAGTCCCTGAGGGCAAACGAGGTCCAGAGACATCATTATTAGCTGAGAGAGCATGCACCATTTTTGTTGGAGTGTGATGGATGTTCATGAATGCCACTTGTTATACATCTTCACAGTTATCACATTCTCCCTTCTTCCCTATTCTAATGTCCAAAACCTCACCGGCGCAAGCATGGGACCCCTATTTGAAGAACAATTTAATACACAAGGGGTTCCATGTTTGTTTTAAGTCAGGCAGACATAAAATTTTATGTGAGAATGAATGAACTTATATAATTTTAAAAGGAATAACCTTGTAAAATTTTAGAAAACGAATTTATGAAATTTTAAGATTGATAAAATTATATTATTTCTGTCCTATTAAAAATGTCCTTTATTGACTTTTTAAAAGTCAAACTTTTTAATTTATTTTAAATATTTTAAAAAATTAAATTTTATTAAATATATATTTCAAAACTACTTGATTAAACGTTTCTAAAATACATTTTTTCATATTTTTATAAATAATAAATTTTAAATAATAATGAATCAAATGTGAAAAATATTTAACAAAAGAAATTAATAAAGAACAATTTAAGTGGGACAGAGGGAGTAACATTTTAGAAGAGGAAAAAATGTTATAAAAAATATTAAAATTATAAAAGAATTTAAAAATTTTAAGTGTAACTGTGACTTCGTTGGCTAAATAACTTAGGCGGGAATTTTTTTAAAAAATGCATGTGTTTGAAAATTATTTTAGAATCTAGGTCATTTGCTACAATACATGGAAACTCGTCACGAGGGAATGATGAGTTCCCTACAATTTTCCTTTAATTTGTATGGCGAGTTTTATTTTTTTAATATATTTTATGAAATTCATCAGTCTCTCGCGATGAGTTCCACACACACTGATAAATGACATTTTGAAGCAAGCGTTAGGAAAAAATGAAGAGACCACGAGAGTTCCTTAAAAAATTATTTTAAGAATGACCTCAACTTTATACAAAAGCTACAAAATGTCTCATATGGAATGGGAATGCTCAAGTATCAATGGGAAGATGCAATATATAGTTTTGGAGTTCAAAGAAAAGAGAGGTATTATTTCAAATTGTAGGTCCAAAAGCATGCTGATACTACAGCAAACAACAAAAGTTTACTCACACAATTGTGTTGAAGAACTTTGCTCATATAGCTCATGATGAGGTATTATTTTTTCAATTATTGATTATTCACATAATGATTTTAAGTTGGTTGCATATAGTAACAAACATTTTTTATTATTTATTACTTTTTGTACATATTAATTTATATTATACATTGTAGAAAAATAAGTCCGACAATAGAATTGGACAAATAAAGCTCTTCAAAATGACACACACACAAAAAACATAGCTCTCATATGGCTCCTGAAGCTGCAAAAATTTTGATATATTTATTGGACATAAAATCTGAATTATGTTATTTTTTTTATTTATAGTATAACATTCTTATTTTATATAATGTTTAAATTTGTTGTAAAATCTTAATTGAATATTAGGAAAAAATGAGTGATAAAAAGGTGGAGTATGAAGTAACAACTTCATCTTATGGTTCTATT